TATATATATGTTAGTTATTGATACTTTTTAATATCAGTGGAATATAATTTTCAATGTGCAACAACGTTGCATCAATAGGAGTTTTATTTTTTGAGATAGATACAACCAAAGGCCCCTGTAAAAAGTTAAAAAAACATTTTACAATATTAATGCTAATATATCTGCTTCATATAAATATGTTTACTATATACCTGACATATTTGTGGATTATGTATCCAACATTCTTGTTTGAAACCCGTAGCTTGAAACAAGTTATTCCGCTTTATAGGTACAAAGTTAAAAAAATTTACTTCTAGATCTTCCAAGTTACATACTGAAATGTTGATTACGTTTAAATAAGGCTCCATAAATAACGAGATTGTACCCTTAGCAACAATACCAGTTCGCTTAAAGCTTATTTCAAAAGATTTATTTGAAAAGGCTATTAAGTTATTGAAATTATTCAGCATAGATGATGGATCTCCTGCAATAAAATATCGCACCATACAATGTACAATAAATTAAAAATATTCAAATTAAGTTTTTTTGAGAATGCTTAGAATTTCATCTGTATAATTACTTTTGTATATTGCATCAGTAAGACGGAAGGGTTTAGTAATAGTTAATGCAAACATTGGAATTTGATTACGCTCTGTTCCTTTTAACTGTTTATCTATTGCTGCAAATACAAATTAAGAAAAATTATTATTAGGAGATATGGGGACTATACATGCAAATTGTTTGTGTCTTACATTTTCCTACTTCTTCAAATACTTTTGTGATTGGGATATTTTTACTGATATATTTGCTTAAATGCATTGCGTATAATCCATATTTGCTATTTGTTCTTTCATAACTAGGACGATGACTAGATGTGGAATAGGCTTGGACTAAATTTCGAAGATTTTTCCTACTCTTGTATTCTTCAACTTTTGGTATTTCATTATGAATATCAGGATTACATTCTCTAAAAAACAATAATTTTTTATATAATACATTTTTAAGTACCTAATTGTACTTAACTATTAATTTGCTTTATCATTAAATTTTTAACACATGCACACACAGATATATATATATATAGATGCTATAACCAGAAATTCTTACTTTGGTGGTACAGTTTGACACATGTCCAATATTGCTACTAAAAGAGCAGGATCATTTTGCAATAATATAGCTAACAATTCACTCTCACAAATTGCATCTTTTCTCAAGTAAGATGCTGGTGCATCAACAGCAAGCATGTAATTTTCCTGCATTTTAAAGCCATGCCCAGCATAGTAAAACAATCCTATATTGGTATCAAATTTTAATAAGTATATTATATATATTTTGGTACAACATATCTGTAACAACTTACCATAGACTCCTTCTGTTAAAACTTGACTAAATACTTTCATAGCATTCCTCATTTGTTCAAGTGATAAATTTACAAGGCAGATTACTTTAAAACCTATCTCTTTCAATAGATTACCAATTTTTGCAGCATCATTTTTAGGTGTCTCTAAACATTTGTGATTTTCATAATCATCATTTGCAACGATTAAAGCTATTTTTGCAACTGCTTTTTCACGAGGAAGATCCATCTATGAATATACATATATTAACAATTTTAAAATATTTTTTAATTTTTTATAATTTTATGTAGGTATATAGTTTTTTTTTTTTTGTATTAATAGCAAGTTTTGACAAGAAAATAATAATAATTTAGTATTTATATAGGTTTCTTACAACACAGAATAATGAATAATTATAATCTTTACCATTATATGACTTCTTTGAGTAATCACTTCATTCACACCGTTACTTATGTAACAGTAATACTTTCCTTCATACTTGGAATTAAATTGTTTTATCTGGAATAGTATTCTTTGTTATGAAAGATATAAGTTTCTAGCATTAATATTATATATACTTACATATAATACATTTGATGTTTCTTCCTCTAGCTTTGTATTATCTCTAAACCATTGATAACATGGTTTGGGATGACCATGCGCTATACATTTAATTGTAAAGTCCTCACCTTCTTTAATCTCTAAGAAAGTGGGTGGTTGCTGCTGTATTACTACAGGCATACGAGATATATTTACAAAGACTGATTTTGTTAGAAGTATAGAATTTACTGTCTTTCCATCTTTAGTTACTTGTGAGATTTTACAATTATATTCTCCAGCTTGATCGCAACTGTAAATAGTTATATGTACGGATCAATGAATCTAGTATCATACACTTTTGTTTGTGCAATATTTTTACCTATTTATAATGATATCAAGTTCATGACTCTGCTGTTCCTGCAACTCCATATTATTACGATACCATTGATAACTTGGAGGTGGTATACCATTAGCTTTGCAAGAAAGACAAAGATGTTGACCAAAGGATATGTCTAAGGAATCGCATTCCATACCATCAGATGGATGTTTGATAATTATCGATGGCTCTAATAATATATTAAAAATTATATTACAAATAAAAAATTATGAATTTTGAAATGATTGAGGAATATATATTACAACTACCTGGATGATGTAAAACTGACAAAACACTACCAAGTTCACAATCTCTAAGTAATGTACACAATATACCAACTGTACACATTTTTATATTTAGTTCAAACAGTAGATTGTCTGCTGGTGTTTTTGTCATATTCATATTCTGTTCTAAGGATTGTAGCCATGAATTCCTGTACACAACAAATGTATAAGAGAATATGAAGAGTAAACATTCAATTTAGAATCGTTATCCAAATGTTTTCTCTTTACCATTGATATCCGAGTTGTTCGCCTACACAAACTGCCAGCACTTGCCAATTCGAATTTTTATTTAATTCATTGATTAATTCGTTGTATATTACCAGTGGAATATGTTCCAAAGACATATCTTCGTCGATTTTCGCCATTCTTTCTTAACGTAATTACGATGTAGTTTGTTTCTTATTTTCACACAATTAAAAGAATTGAATTGTAATCTTATTGACGTTGCGATTTTCTTGGAGCTGTCAAATGAGAGAGTATACTACTTGTTGCACAATACACATTATTCTTGATAATAGGAGGAAAACTAAAATTGGACATATGTATATTATATATTTTGGATTGTATTTATTTTAAATCCTTTTTTTACACGCAAAATTTAGACGAAATACAAAAATATAAAAATATTTTATGAAAGTTTACAAAACACGATACACACATATTTGGAGATATATATTTCATCTTTTATGTATATATATACATATATTATTTTAAGATACATGTATATGTGCAATGTGTGAAAAAAAAAGCACTGCATGGCATATTATACATGAAGTTTCTTAGTCACGTGCATTAATAAACAGAACGAGATGACAAGGATCTCGAACTTGCGCAGACGCATATGCGCAGAGAAAAATCAACCAATCATACGTCTAGTATTGCACAAGTACGGTATCTTTTATATCAAATATTCGATTGGTCAATTTTAAAAGATTACTAATTCTCCCTAAACCCGCAATCGCGATACGAAACATCGGCGACTAGGAAATTGAGTGTCGCGAAAATTTACTAGGACTCTCCGTTGCGAACGCGGTCGCACGGTGGGGTTACGATCGCGACCAATCGGCCCGCGAAATCGCCCGCGCCTGCGCGATGCGCGTGGCGCGCTGCGCCGCATGATCTTGCGTATCAGTGTTCGCCAGTGCTATCGAGACGGCACACGTAACGGTTTACGCGTGTTACGAAGCGCGATTGTCGTCCGTGCGAGATTCCGCGAACGGTGGTGCGCGTCGCGGTACGACGAACGAGTGGAAAAAAAGAAAAACGGGAGAAATTGCAAGGGGGGACGGAGCGCCCCGACGAGGGTGGTGGTCGGTGCTGTTGCTTAGCGGGTAACGGTAGTGGTGGTTGTGTGCGGTGGTGGTGGTGGTGGTTGGCGGCGGTGGCGGTGGTTGGTGGCGGTGGTGGTGGTGGTGGTGGTGGTGGGTGCTCCGGGTTCCGCGAGGGTCCGCGAAAAACTAGTGCCGCGAGCCATCATGGCGAATCCACGGAAATTCAGTGAAAAGATCGCGCTGCTGAATCAGAAAGAGGCGCAGGACTCGGCGGCGTTCGAGGCGATCATGAAGGAGGTTTCGGACGTCACGAGCAGAGTAAGGAAATACCAGTAGGTCTTTTGGCGCGCGCCGAAAGGGTCGATGCCGTGTCGCGGCACCGTGACCCGTCCGTGCACCTCCCTCGGCTCAGATGTTAGAACGTAAACAACGAGTGTGTTCCCCCCCTCCCGCTTCCCCTTTCCTCCCGTGCCCCCCCCCC